AGGAACTGAACATACAAGCTATCAGAGATGTGTGGCACATTGGAGAAGGCAACCTTACCGAGCTAGATCCAATCTGTCGAGCTTCAGAAGTATCTGGATCATCATGGCCATGCTGCAGGGAACAAAGACAATCAGATCTGCAGCCTCTTGGGTACTTGGCTCTTTACATATCCCCTGTACACTGCAGCATCTAGAATCCAGGCATCCTTCCAGGAACTGTCCCCCCAGAGGCCTGGGGCCAGCAATCATTATGACAGTGTTCCTCTTTTTGCATCAAGGATTACATTCTTAGCTGTCTCCAGTCCTACATCTATTTCTGCTCTTAGGTCTACCTGATCCCCCAGTTAATTTCCAATGAGTGCTTTATAACATGTTCTTACCAAGTGCTTATTTCAATTTGTGAAGCATAAAACCAAGATCACCCCCTTTTTATTACAATGCAACCTCATTATAACAAACTCCCTTGGAACCATGATAGAGTTCATTAAAAAGAGGGTGTGTGCACTTTAAAAGGATTAGTCAATTTGCTGAACCCTAATAACGAAGAAGTTGGATCCTGCTGTGAGGATTATTAAAAGTGGAGGCTTCTTATACAGAGTAGTACTGTACTGTTAAATAAAAAGTATGGATTTGCAAAAACAGATTGGTAGCATAAGAGTGATGTTGTAGCCATGACAGTCCAGAAATTACACAAGAGGCAAGGATTTTTTTAGATTGGTATCTTTTATTGGACCAACTATGTAGTTGGGATAAGTTAGACGAGCTTTTGAATGCAAGACATTCTTTGTCAAATCTCTGGCAGAGTCCAATAAAAGATATCACTCTAAGAAATCCCCATCTGTCACAGGAGTAGATCAGCATTTAGTTGCAGTCAAAATTACTGAAGCGGAACAGGAAATCAGCAGACCTTCCCCATTCTGAATCCTGAGGCATGTCTTAGTGCTTAAATCTCCAATATAAAACATCTGGTCTCATTTAACTCAGTTTCTGTGGGTCAAGTATAACTCAACACTGCTGCAGCCCACAGCATCAGGACACTAAGACGGGTCTTGCCTACGGACACAGCCTGGATATTTGAACCCCCCTCAGGCAGTCTGCTACTTAGGATGCAGAGACAATGCCAGCAAGTAGAAACAAGCATCTTATTTTACTGTCTTTGCAACAATAAAAAAGCAGGCTGTATTATCTGGGCATGTGGCAGGAAAGTCTGCTCCCACTCACTGACTGCTCCATCACTACAGCACTGGAACTCATCTCAATAACCATGAACATCCAAGATAACAAATCTTGTGTTCCTTAAATACACACTGGGCAAGGGTGTGTCTTAGTCTTGGGTGAAGCCAAATCACCCATCATTTAAAAGGTCAGCACCTCACTGAAATAGCATCTGCTCAGTGCCTCACAGTTTCCTAATAAGCTTTAACATAAGTCAACTGTTGCCCATTTGCATGGCAGACTGTCCTCATATAATGAAGAGTGCAGCTTTGTGACCATCCCCGGTTGTCTGAGCTGGACTTACCACTCCAAGCTTTCCCCTTGGTGCAGCGTGCGCAGAGCTGCATCAGGGTTTTTGTCATGAAAATAGATGGAAGCTGCCATGAGCAAGAAAGTTGTATTGGTCACGTCAACACTTTTTGCCATCTTCTTGTCCAAATCAGCAACAATTGCATCCCTGGGAAGAAAAGAATAAGGGTTAGGGAATAAGTCACTGACTTGCCAAAACAAGCAAGAAACAATGACCTCAGCAGAAAGACTCCATGGGATTCTTTAAATTAAGTGTTTTGGACTAAATAAACCAACAGTGAAGAAAGAGGAGTGTTTTTCTTGCCCCCAGTACTCAAAAATAAACCAAGGGAATTTTACTAAATAGGACCAACAATATAGCAAAGCTGAAGAGTTCTAGTTCAAATTGGTAAGCTTTCAGCAATATAGTCAAAGTGCCTGAAATCAGCTATTGAAAAGTAGTGATAGATATGCAGATAGTCCTCTTCTAATGCCAATTAAATTGAGCTGTGCACCTTTAAAAACTCAGTTCAGCAAGCAGAAGTTAGAAGGACAGACAGATCACTAGTTGGATCAACCAGCAGGAAATGCTTAAATAAGAACTGCTTGAGTTCACTGTTATGACTTAAAGTTTGAGTGTATTTTAGTGTGCATTGCCACTGAAAACACAAGTAGATACCTGGCTGTGGACTGTTAAAAGTGCATCAACCTTTTGTTAATATGCTAAAGAATACATTGTTCAACACACCAACAAACCTCAATACTCGTTTTTATCCCGCATAAATCAGTTTCAGGGCAACGATATTCTGATCTGCTGAATTTGGAGCACGAGAAAAGGAGCATAAACATGGGCCATGATCCTACATAATTTCAAACAAGGCTACATGCCATCAAAGGATTGCCCCCAGCCATATTTCATTACAGGACCAGAGCCACATACAGCAGTGACCAAGGTCACTCCTATTATCAAAATTAGTTCTTCCCCTAGAAACCAGATTGCTGTAATAGTGTCCGACTTACCTCTGACTCTCACTCGAAAGATATTCTGCAAACATTTTCACTGCCTGGAGTTCCGGGCAAGCATTGGCTCTGATTTCATCTAGCACAACACCATATTTTCTCTGTTGAGATGAAAGGGAAAGAGTCTGTAAAATGTTATTTGGGACACAAGTGTTGAAGATATGGCCCGTGGAGCCCTCTGATTCAGCCCATGGGCCTCAAGCTGAACCAGTATGCCAGGGCACGTGCTCCACATGATGTCCATGCCAGACTGGCCCTACACAGGCACTGCATGCAGTGGGCACCCCGTGCCAGCCCCACATGCCTCGTGCAGTGTGAACCCCATGCTGGGGCTGACGTGCTGCATACAGTGTGCAGGGGGCCAATCAGGCCCACAAACTGGCCCCACATAGAGCCAGCGCATGGGTCCAGTCCAGTGTGGGCACCTCACAGAGCGCATGCTCCATGCACGGGCCCCAGACCAGGGCTGGCGCATGTTGCACACAGGGCTGATCCAGGGCATGCAGTGCATGTTGTGTCTGCACCAGACTGGCTCTGGTGTGTGGGGCCAGTTTATGGGTCCAGTCCAGCCCACACTCGTTATCCAGCCTATGGGGCCAGATGAGTTTGACACCCCTGATTTAGAACAAAGAAAAAAAATAGTTGACTATAAAACAATATGGGTTAATCTTTGTCACGTGTTCTGACTTGCTCAGAATCTAAGACAGGCTAGGGAGGTAGAGCAAAGACCACCACTGCACGAGTCGCTATTAACCAGTATATTCCCGAGTGCAACCTGAGATGATTAAGCAAAGAACTTTACAAAACAAACTTCCCCAATATTTAAATCACCTAGAATAGGCTGGTCATTTCTCCCCGCTTATTCCTACACACTTAGGCTCAGACTGAGACACTTGAGTCACAAGAAGCCCTGCAACTTCTCACCTATTGCTCTTCACAGAAAACATGATTTATTTATTTGTTTTACTGCGTGTACTGGACAGATCTTTCCTGCAGCCATGAATTATGCAGCATGTACTATCCAGCACCATCCATCGTTAACTAAAAACATTGCCTTTTTTCTTTTAAACAGGACTGGTTTTGACACCTTCAGGTGCCTACACCACTGCAGCTCTTTGACTTCGAGCATCACTGCCCCAGCACAGACCTAGCCCGACTAGGTTCCCCAGTACTTCCAGAAAAGGTCTCTAATAAGAATGCAAAATGCTGATTTTATGCTGAACATTAACGTGAATCACATAACAAAAGGTCAGCTGCACCCTGGAGCTAAACAATGGCAAAGACAGGCCGAGCACAGGCAGGGGCTGCATGCAGGGAGAAGCACAGCAAGGGCAGGAGAACGGGGGGATTGCTATCCTACAACGTTGGCTCTTTGGGACCTCCTTCTTCCATCTCTGATGTAGACCCAGCCGCAATGATCGTTTTCCATTTAGATGATCAGGCCAGACACTTGCACCAGGCTGTGATACCTCCATCGCATTTGCAGACGGGGCATCAAATCATTTGACACACCGCGACCAGAGAGTTTTGAACACCGTGGTCATGCATCAAGTCCCTACGAGTCAGAGCTGCCGCAGCGGATCAAACCCAGGGGCCTTTGGCACTGGGTCTCTCTCAGGCTGCTTATCTGGGCTCCTGAGGACCCACTGAGGATGGCAACAACACCTCTGAGGCACAGCAATGCCTCCAGCTTCCTCCGGGCTTTGCAGGCAAAACCACACGCCCCCAACTCCAGCTGGAGCAACTCTCCACTCACGTGTAAAGCGAGGTGCAGGCCCGGCAACGTCGGACCAAGCCTCCCTCCCCACCCCCCAGCCCCGCTGCTCACCTGGGCGATGTAGGCGCGGTAGAGGAAAACGTCCCGCTCCACCTCGCGCTCGGGACTGGACAGCTGTGGGGTGACAGGAGGGACAATCACTTCAGTGCCGGGGCGGGGGGGACCTCACAGGCACAGCCTGGGGCTTGGGGCCCTAAAGTGACATTGGGGGGCGGCACAGCCCCCCATGGTGGTGGGGGCTGTTGGGGGAGGGGATGCTTGACAGGCTCAGACCCTCCCTCCTGGGGGCTGTGGGCGGGTGGGGCACCTGACAGGACCGAGCCCCGTCCCACCGGGGCTGTGGGGGGGCTATAGGGAAGGGGCCGCCTGACAGGCTCAGACCCTCACCCCTGGGGGCTGGGGGGGGCACCTTGACGCGCTGCGCCTCGTTGATGGCGGCCTGGAAGGCCCCGATGTAGAAGCTGTTCTTGACGTCGAAGAGTTCGTCCGCGTCCCCCGCCGAACTCCCCCCGACCCCCGTCGCCGCTCCTGCCGCCATGACACCTGCCCGACACGTCTCCGGAAGCCGCCACGCGCGGGGGACGCCGGGAGCCGTAGTCTTCCCCCTCACAGAGAACAAGTCAATGGCAGCGCGCAGTGTCACTTCCTGAGCGCCGGAAATGGGGTGGAAAGCGGGGGAGCGGTGACGTACCGGGCGTGCGCCTGAAGCGGGGGGTGGGCGCGGGCATGGCCGGGTTCGGCGCGCTGGGGCTGGCGGCTTGGCTGGCGGAGCAGGCGGGGCGCCTGGGCCTGGTGCGCCCCAGCGCCGTGCAGGCCGCCTGCATCCCGCCCGTCCTGGAGGGTGAGTGCTCCCGGGGGAGGCTGCGGGCCGGGAACGGTCCCTGGAAGGGTCCTGACTTCACGTGTCCCCTCGCGCAGGTCGCGACTGCATGGGCTGCGCCAAGACCGGCAGCGGGAAGACGGCGGCCTTCGTCCTGCCCGTCCTGCAGAAGCTCTCGGAGGACCCCTACGGCATCTTCTGCCTGGTGCTGACGCCCACCAGGTAGGGGCGGGTCGGTGGCCTGTCCCGTCACAGGTTTCGTAGTCATTTGGGGCTGGACGAGACCTCGCACGTCGCCGGGGCAGGAACGAGCGGGTGACCCCGGCGAGGTCTGGGCAGGCGCTTGCTGGATGCTGAGCCCTTGCCCGGAACTGCCTGATTCTCCCTTTCTCTCTCCCTGGTCCGGCGTGGAGGAGTAACGGAGCGGGCGGATATTTGTATCCATTGATGGCTTGGGAGTATCGCGCTTAATGGTACTAGATCAGAGTTAGGGTTCACATGAGTCCAACATCCTGCCTCCCAAAAACTGGTTTGGATTCGGCGTTGCAGCATAACTGGGCATCCCCATAAACATCCCATTTCACTTTGAATTTTCCTGAGTGTTGGGCCTTGTTGATGTTGTGTGTCAATAAATTACTTTATGAGCAAAGTGGGGGGGGAAAAATCTATTGGTTCTTAGGTTCCTGGTTCCAGCTGTGATTTCCCTGCGACCCTGTCCTTTGAGGTAAGAAAGACCGTCCCCATAATCTTTCTGTGCTTTCCCTCTTCCTCTCTCACAGGGAGCTGGCCTACCAGATTGCAGAGCAGTTCCGCGTTCTGGGAAAGCCGCTTGGATTGAAGGACTGCATCGTTGTCGGAGGAATGGGTAGGTATGGGCCGCCTCTGCCTGGTTTGCTTCAGGGCTGTTTAAGGAACCGCGAGCTGAAACCATACGGTGACTTTGGGGGAATCTGTGATTATCCAGAAGCCGTGGCATTCTCCCTATTGGTAAAATCTCACATTCAGCGCCAAAATGTGGCATCTCTTGGTTTTCCAGGCTCGGGGCCTGTCTATCCCTTTTCAACAACCACAGCAAGAAGGGAGAACTAATCCAGATTAGGATCTGGATGCTGGTCTGCTTTGTCACTGAAACAACAGTCTGAACAAAACAATATGTTTGTGAGATTTATTGTTGATTAAAAATATTACTTTACACATAAGCCAAGTTCAGCACATGTGGCTGCTCGTGTCTCATTGAGGGGACCCACCTTTGTGCTAGAAATGAAGGAAACATTTTACATGTAAACACTTCCTTGCTGTGTTTCAGACATGGTGGCCCAGGCACTGGAGCTCTCCCGCAAGCCTCATGTTGTCATTGCGACACCTGGCCGGCTGGCCGATCATCTCCGCAGCTCCAACACTTTCAGCCTCAAGAAGATCAAGTTCTTGGTAAGGTGGTGGTTCAGCTCCTTTCCTGCTTGAAGAATTTCTCCCGCATGACCTGCTATGCCTGGGCACATTAGCTTAGGTCAGAACTGGCGGTCCTGGCCCCCAGACCTGTGTTCAGCTCAGATCCTCCTGCCCTGCATTGCTGTTCTTCACAGCTGGGGTTGACGCTTGTTGTTTGCCTGTGGCTAAGGTTTTGGATGAAGCTGACCGGCTGCTGGAACAGGGCTGTACGGATTTCACCAAGGACCTCGAGGTGATTCTAGGAGCAGTCCCAACAAACAGGCAGACGCTGCTCTTCAGTGCCACACTGACTGACACACTTAATGAGCTGAAGAGTCTTGCCATGAACAAACCCTTCTTCTGGGAATCTCCGGCAGAGTAAGTTTCCTGCTTTGCTTCACGTTCAGTTCGCACATGCTTCCCCCTCTCCTGATGTTGCCCCTTCTCTTCACCCTGCCATTCCAGCTCCAAATTTGACCCATTGTGGCATCTAGGAATAACTCTCATGTGGCCTTTTCTCCCCATCCGCAAAACAGAGTGCGAACAGTAGACGAGCTGGATCAGCGCTACCTGCTTGTGCCAGAGAGAGTCAAGGACGCATACCTGGTCCATTTGATCCAGACATTCCAGGATGAGCACGAGGACTGGTCCATTATGATCTTCACCAGTACCTGCAAGTGAGTCCAGTGCCTCTCGCCATGGACCAGTTCATGTTATGGCTGCTAGGGCTCATCCCCCAGCCTCCTCCTTGTTATTAGCAAAGCCAGAAAAGCATTCACTATTCTAGCCCAAGCTGAACTTAGGGCAAGTCCTTCCCTACCTCCTGAGAAGGCCCCTGCAGGGCAGGCCTTGCAGTACCTAAAAATATAACTCTGTGGAGGGGCCTGGCCTAATTGCTTTGAGGGGGCCCTGCTTTTATCCTGACCAGCAGGGGATGGGAAAGCAGCACATCCTCCTCTTCCCTGGGAAGGAAACAGTGAGGGATTTAATGCGTGACATGAAGTTAATCCAAAGTTCCATCCTTCCATATCCACGTATCTTGGTGGACTGGAAAAGCCTTTAGTGCTCTTCAAAAAGCTTGACCTTTCCCAAGGGCCCTTGGCCTGCATTCCCTGACTCCCAAGAACAGCCAGTGTCCACAGAAGAGTTCATGCTAACTGTGGAGCAGGCATCTGGCCTGCTCGCCAAGCCAATGTGTTGCTGGTCAAGCACTGCTTTGTGGTGCTTGGAGAATGAGAGGCTCTGGACACTACCTGGTTGTGCCCTGGTTCACCCACTCCCATGAGGGCTGTGAATATAACGAGGAAATACTTCCTCCTTCAGGGATTGTCAGATCTTGAACATGATGCTGAAGAAGTTCAACTTCTCGTCGGTGGCTTTGCATTCCATGATGAAACAGGTGAGTGACTTGGTGGGGGTGACCTGTGGGGGTGCTGGGGCTGCTGTTGTCCTTCATCGTGATGGGTGCTACGCCTGCTGAATTTCTGACCGGGGCTTCGGCTTTTCTTCACTCATCTATTGAGCCAAAGGATTTGGGAGCTCTTTGGCTTTTGACTCCTGGTCCCTTCCTTTCTTGCTTCTCATGGGAGGGGCCAAGCCAAGCGGAAGGCATACAGGCCTGAGCCAGCCTCAGAAACCCATCTCTGCTGAGGTGCCTCAGCCATCACTTGCCCTCTGCTAGCCTAGCTCCAGACATGCCAATGTGGGCTAGTAGCCAGGTGCTATTTTTCGTGAGGCCGGAGAGAGCTACCCACAGCCCCTGAGGCTACAGCACTCCTAACTTGGATCCTTTTCCTTTTGCAGAAGCAGCGCTTTGCAGCCTTAGCCAAGTTCAAGTCCAGTGTTTTTAAGATCCTCATTGCCACAGATGTGGCTGCCAGGTAAGAGAAGGTGAAATTTCTCCCTCTGATGCTGAAAGTCTTGAGTGAGTTTCCACTCAAGGCAGCTGGTCCATTGTAGATAGTAGGGGCAGGGTTGGCAAATGGACAGTTTTGAGATCCTGCCTCTCCCCTCCTTGTCCAGTACAGAATTCCCCATTGTAGCACAGTCCAGGTTCGGGGCATGTTGTGGAGCGCCTCATATAGCTGGGGCAGCTGGATCCTCTGCTCAGCTCCTGCTGTGGAGTACTCTAGCCTGCCAGTTTGCTGGGAGGCAGATTGGCTTGTGGCAGGGGCTGGTTTGCTCTCTGGGCCTGAGGAGCATAATAGGTGCCAGGCAGGTTGCAGGGGGCAGTCTGTGCCACTTTGTGGTTGCTGGAAGCGCATGTGAAGCGATGGGTAAGTGCACGGAATCGGTTTGCCTCCTAACCGCAGGCCTGTGAGTGCCTTGTAGTCTCCAAGGGTTCTTGGTGAAAGCTGAGAACAGGAAATGGGAGTGTTTGTGTTGAACTGCTGCCACACCACCCCTGTGCTTGTGCTTCAGGGGGCTGGATATTCCCACTGTGCAAGTTGTCATCAACCACAACACCCCAGGCCTGCCCAAGATCTACCTCCACCGTGTGGGTCGTACAGCCCGAGCAGGTGAGTGAGGGAAGCTTGCAAGAGGCTCATAGGCAGTGGCAGCTCTGCACAGGAACTAGGTTGGGTGTACAGAAGAACTGTTCCCTTGTTGGGTTTATGGAGGCTCCCTTGTGGCTGCGGGGCAATCTTTTCAGTGCCAGATCAGCTTCTGGCCTCCTACCGTAGCAGTGCAGAGCACAGGTTCATTTGAACTGGAATCCCACCAGCCCATGGCAGAGGCATCTGTGCATGACCCTCCCTCTGGCTTGCTCCCCTCTGTTACCCCCCAGCCATTAAGCCAGCGCAGATGTGCTGGGCAGATGGTGCTTGGAGTAGTTGAGTCCCATCCGTCTCTTTGCTGTCCTCTTGGCTAGTGCATGGGGGGTGCTATTGGTCAGGCTCACATGGTAACCGGTGACCCTTTGCTGTCCTCCAGGCCGGCACGGGATTGCCATCACACTGGTGACACAGTATGACATCCACCTGGTGCATGCCATCGAGGAGCAGATCAGTAAGTGTGGAGCCTGGGTGCTGCCAGAAAGCATTAAGGACGGCCTAGCCTCCAGGGCTCTTGCACCCATGGATGCAGAGTTGGGTGAACTGATTCAAACTCTGCCTGGGTTGGAGAGTCCCACTTCAAGCCCAGATAAATGCAGGTGGCTGCACTGGCTTTGGCAGGGCTGCCCTACCTGTCTGTCCCCTGGCCCATCCCTGATATGTGCGCTTCTCCTGTGCCCTGGTTTAGAGACGAAGCTGCAGGAGTTCTCAGTCGAGGAGCGTGCTGTGCTTGACATCCTCACCCAGGTGAATGTCACCCGGCGGGAGTGTGAGATAGTAAGTGTGCACAGCAGGGATCCACCCCTGTGTTCCTGGCTTGGGCAGGGTGTGTGGCCTTCCCCTTGGATGTGCAGCAGGGGGGAGTCCGTGGAGCAGGGGGACTGCAGGACTCTCTTGTTTCTAGAGGAAGCCTGGGGGACGTTCTGAGGAGGCAGGGTTGCATCTGCCGTCCGATCCAGCCTGGGAGCACCCCAGAGAGATTGTTGCCCTGATTGGGAGCACTTGGGGATGGGGAGGGCCTGTCAGCTGCTGAGTTTGCAGGGACCTGGCTCAGCTTGGGGATTCCCAGCAAATGCAGCAACCCCTCTGGCTCAAACTGCTCCATGGAGCCGGACTGCTCCCCTGGGATCAGCCGCATGCCTGGCCCTCATGGCCCCTTTGCATTTTGTTTTGGCAGAAGTTGGAGGCAGCCAACTTTGATGAGAAGAAGGAAATAAACAAACGGAAGCAGATGATCCTGGAGGGCAAAGTGAGTGTCGTCCCCCCCCCAGCAGGCAGGGTTGGTGCACGATGTATCCCCAGGACAGGTGGCTGGGCCCAGGCATGGCAGGCACCTGGGAAGGGTGAGGTTGGCTGGCAGTGGGAGGCCAGCCTGGCCCCGCCACAGAGCATTAGCTCTTGGCGTTTGCCCCTCAGGACCCAGACCTGGAGGAGAAGAGGAAGGCGGAGCTGGCTAAGATCAAAAGGAAGAACAAGCAGTTTCGTGACAGCGTCCAGCAGACGCTACAGGAGCGGATGCAGCTCCAGGTGAAGAGGAAATTGCAGAAGCGAATGCGGCGGCGACAGTGCCTGGCGGCCAAGGAGGAGAAGTGAGAGCCCCAGGCCAGGGCGTGGACATGGGCGAGAGCAGCTGCTGGACAGCCTGACCTGGTGTGCTTCCAGCACCCTGGAGGCCCAAAACTGCTGGGGGAGGTGTCAATGGGTGGGGATCCCCCTGTCAGATGCCCTTTTGCCCCTTCCAGAGGTGCTTCTGGGGTAGCCCCTCATCCTGTTCTAGTCATCTGAAGGGGGCTCCTGGAAAAGGCGGGGGAAAGTGGGTCACTCAAGCTTGTTTCCCTTTTGTTCTGTTCCCTGTGAAGGGTCTGTCAGGAAACAGAAATGCTGCTGCTCACCAGGAGGCCATCTCCTGTCTCCTACCCAGGGCTGGTGCTTGCCACTCACTCTTGTTTATAGCTGTGGCTTCCCCCCTGAGCCAGAGTCTAAAAATACTGCGAGCAGCTCAGCTCAGTCCATTGCTGCCTGACCTGGCTCAGGGTGTCTGAAAGGGGAGGAGGGGCAGGGAAGGCCGTGAGTAAACAGGCTCTGGGCTTCTTGTGGTCACGCGTGAAGCCTCTTACCTGAACTCATGGATGCTCCTCTTGGATCTTGGTCTCGACCAATGTCCTCCTAGCTCGGCCTCTCCCTGGTGATCCTTGTGGATGCCCTGGGCCTGTCTTCTGAAAACAGGTTTCCCTTGCAGTGTCTTGCTTTAGTCAGTCTGAGTAGCTTCCAGCGCTCCCTGTCTTCTGATCAGCAAGGACTTGGCTTTTCTGCCATAGCGAGTCTCTTACTGTCCTGGGGTGATGTCCCCTTGGTCAGTGCCATGGTGGCTCTCATCCTGCTCCCTCCATATGAGCCTGTGGCACAAACAATGTCAATCAGCAGAGCCACTCTGGACCTGCCCTGCAAATGGGGTGCTCATGCCAAGAGCAGCCCTGGATGTCCTGGGATGGGGTTTGCCTGGACATGCCCTGCAGGGGAGAGGGGGAGTCCTCAGGGCCTGGGTCAGAGCTGAGCCCCTCTGAGGTATGTGTCTACTTTTGTGCTTCCTTGAAGAGCTGCAAATCCCAGAGGCCCAGCCTTGCCCGCATGCCTGCCCGAGGGTGGGGGTTCGGTCCCTCTTTTCTCCTGATTTTAATAGCGAGTTTGATTCTCTGGTGCCTTATGTGCTGGTTGTAGCTCCCTATGGCCACTGCCTGCTGGCTCCCGGGACAGTTCTTCCACCCAAATAAATGTTCACTTGGTGTAAGTGTCTGGGTTTCCCCCACTTCTGCCCCTATTGTGGCGGCTGCTGTTTGGCTGGAAGCTGTGCCTCTTGCAGCATTTGGCATAAGGTTGGGGCTGAGCGACCTGCTGAGATGAGGCTGGAGCAACCATAAGTCAGTGCACAAGGAGGCTTTTCCAAGGTGACCCTGTGGCTGTGCCTCGGTGCTACAAGTGCAGTGTGGGGCCTGCAGGTCCAGCTGGGTGCTTTGGGTGCACCTAGAGAAGTGTGGTATGGCCTGGCAGGGAGGAGCCCTGGAGGGAGCTTGCACATGGTTGTGGCAGCTGTAGCAGTGAATGGGTTTGACTGGGTTGCTTGCTCCATGCACACAAAGTGCATGCACAGCCCCACGTGTGCTGCTGGCGCAGCAGTGATGAAACCCTCCCTGGAGCAGGAGGCTCTTGCGTTTCTGCGCTGCCTCTGAGTCTCTTGGCAGCGATCCCCGTCCTGACCAGATACTGCTGTCTGAAGTGTCTGCCACTCTCCCTGCTGGCATTTTCTGTCTCCTTCCAGCATGCGGCGACAGGCGAGGGCTGCATTGTGATATCTTCTTGCTGCCTCCTCTGGCACCTGGAGCAGGTGCCTCTGCACGGGGAGGCGGCGTTCTCATGCGCACTCAAGCAGGGGGTCTTGGGAGTGTTTGGGATGGCTTGGGCTGGGACGGGGCCGTTGCCCACCAGCTCATGTATTCACATCTACCCAGTCCAGGGCCCCTGTGCTGTAAATTCGTTCTCAGCCTGGCTTTTCAGTCCCTCATTGCCTGTCAGCCCCGCTGACATGCCTACCCCTGGCCCTGCAGGCCGTGCTCTTGGCTTCTGTCTGCCATGCCGGTGTTCGTATGTGTGGGGGGGAAGAAATCTGCCCCCATTTTACTAGGACTGCTTCAGGGGCTGCTGTGGGTGGGTGGCAGAACCCAGGAGTCCTAGCTCCTACACCTGGTCGTGCGCATCTGCGCCAACCCCTGTGCTGCCAT